TGACGTGGCCGGTGAACATTCCCAGGCAAATCAGTCGTCCAGCCTTGGACACTGCGAATCCCTTAACGGGATTCCGCTGGAGCCGCCGAGCAGATCTGCGGACACGCGCACGCGCATCGTTGGTGCTGGAAACGCAGCCCTTTATTATTGTTTTTCTAAACAGAATAGGACAATGGCAATGTAAACATCATTTGAGCAAAAGCATTTGGCTATCGGAGATAAACCCAAAAGGAAAATAACAGCTTCCCTTTCTTTTTGGTTTTTGTGTTTTGATATTTGGCAGCATTATAATCTTTTAAGAATTAAAAAAATTCTGTGGTATGCTAACTGCTATTTGTTTATGCCTATTAAGTTCAGAATGCAATGGACTCAGAAGCCTGCCTCCCCCCGCCCCCCGCCCTGCCAGCGTGCTCCCAGTTTTGCTTTGTGTTTGGAGGAAGTGACGGGAACCAGCAGGGCCCAACACAGGCCAGTCAGCAGCACTGGGCAGACGGGCACCCAGTAGTGGAGGCGAGGCTCCACCAGCTCGCCTGGCTCCTTCGCGTCTGTCCTCGTCCTCGTCCTCGTGAGCCTCGCAGGCTGCCATTCCCACTTCCTGGAGGAGGTGGCGGAGATCCACCCTGGCGACTAGCGAGTGGCAGGGGGAGCCGCCGCTTTCCCACCCTGCCAAGCTGCTATTTCTAAGCCACAGCAGTATGTGTAGGCCACGCTTTAAGCTCCATAGAGCATTTGTGGCTCCCTGATTTGGCGTCTGGGGAGGGAATGGAGAGGAGCAGGGAGAGGGGGCGGGGGCTGCCAGCAGGTGGGGGTGGACGGGTGCCCTGTGAGTCATTCATTCCTGCGGCAGATGTGTGCCAGGCACCATGCCAGGTCCTGTGAGGCAGGCAGCAGTCGGAGACAGTTGGGGCCTGTGTCCTCTGAGCCGCAGTCCAGAGGTTGAGGGAGGAAGGAGGGAGTGGTGAGAGGGTGCCGGAAGCCCAGGCGGCAGCAGGTGGTAGCGCCAGCAGAGGATCCCTGGAGGAGGGGGGGGCATGCAGACGGGGTGGTGGGGGTGGTGGGTTCGATGCCGCCCTGAGGCTGGAGGCGGAGTTGGTGCGCCGCAGGGGCGTGGGCCAGAGTGAGTGCAGCAGCCCACGTGGCATCCTCTGCCAGGGCATCTGTGCTGTTTGTGCTTTGGCATTGGTAGGAGAAGGCATGGACCCTCCCCTCACCTGCACTGGATGGGTCTCCTGTCTCCACCACTTCACAGCCCCCCACCCCCGCCAGCCCTCCTTGGACTTTGTTGGTGGCTGCCCACCGCCTTCCGACCTGCACCCTCGCCCGGTCTCCACTGCCGTCCATGGCCCCCTCACCTTCCCCCAGAGGGGCTGCCCGCCCCGGCGCCCCCTCCACCCCAGGTGCCAGCTGCCACTCGGCCGTGTCCATTCTCCACGCATGTCTCCAGGCACATGTCTGAAATAAAACTGCTTATTCTGCCTCTTTCCTTCTCCTGGAATCTGCACACCCTCCCCACCTTTGCGCTCTGTCAAGGATGCCTGCATCCTGGCTATCCCCGCCCCTCCTGCCCCGCCCGCTCTGACCTGTGGTGGTCAGGGCTTGGTTCTCTTGCTCTGTGTTTGTGCCTGTCTCCTTTTGTCATTCCCCCGCTGCACTTGGATTGGGGCCCTCATCTCTTCTCCTCGCCTCTGTGTGGGCTTCCAAGGGGTCCTCTGTCTCTGTCACCCTCCCTTTGCCCACAGCCTCCCCCCACCCCCCACCCCCCTGCTGCTTGGTCAGGATCTCAGGGACACCATCCTGACAGCCTCCCTTCTCTGCTGCTAAGAAACACAGAAACCAACCAGCTTCTCCCTCAGCGGTATTTCCTACAATAATTTTAAGTTGTACACAGTTGAATGTTACTAATTTTAAGAGTTCTTTATCTTAAAAATGCCACAGTACTTTAGCAGTTCCTCAAAAAGCTAAATATAGAGTTATCATATGACCCAGCAATTCCACTCCTCAGTATATACCCAGAAGGGCTGAAAGCATAAGTCCACGCAAAATCTTACCCACAAATGTTCACAGCAGCCCCAAATAGAAACAACCCAGATGTTCTCTACCTGATGAATGGATAAATCAAACGTGGTGCATCCATACAGCAGAGAATTATTCAGCAGTAAAAAGGAATGAAGCACGGATACAGAATGCAACATGGATGGACTTTTAAAATATGCTAAGTGAAATAAGCCAGATGCAAGAGGCCACATATTGTGTGCTTCCATACACATAAAAAATGTTCAGAATCGGCAGATCCACGGAGCCAGAAAGATTTGTGGTTACCATGAGCCGAGGGGAAGGGGCTGCCTTCGGGGGTGACTGCTAACAGAGATGCCGGGGCCCTTTTTGGGTGATGGCAATGTTCTGGAATTAGCAGTTACAGTTGTACAACATTGTGAATACACTAAATTGTAAGTGTGAATGGTACTATTTAAAATGGTCAATTCTATGTTATGTGAAGTGTATCTCAATAAAAATAAACAAAAACTCAGCCTCCCCCCAACCTGCCAAGTGTCGCAGCACACATGCCAGCACTGTTCGTGGTAGGACACGTCTGGACACAGTCTAGGTGTCTGTTGACGGGAGACGGCGTGGGAAGGCGGTTACATAGGAGCGTAGTCAGGCATTAGATATTATATACAGAAGTGAAAATGGGTGGCCCACCACTAGCTATGCATAGTGACATGGCTGAATCTCGGAACCATGAATACTGAGTGACAGAAGCAAGCTGTAGAAGACCGTATATTGTTTAGTTTAACAATACTTTCAAAAGTTCTTTTTATTTTTTAAGGCAAGGAACCAAAGAACCTTGAACCTAAGCGGTTTCCCTGTGGAGGGCGTGGAGGGAGTGGAGGGACGCCCTGTGCGGTCCAGCCCTGCTCTGGGCCTGCAGGGGGGCGAGGGGGGGGGCGGCAGGCAGGTGGGCTCCCAGGCGTTGGCTTTGCTGGTGCCTCGCTTGTAGTTTGCACTTACCCTTTTCTGAGCACCCAACGGTACAGAATGACAATTCGGAAAGCAGAGGAGCCGCACGCAGGCCTTCGGGCTGGCGCTCGCTTTTTCTGGGGCAGAGCCGGACGGTTAGGAGTTGTAAGGAACATTTCCTCCTAATGTCGCTAGTCAGTGCTGCAGAGTAAATAAAACACTGGGAGTGTCTCCAGCAGCAGAGGAAGGAGGGAAATAATATTTTTATTCTGTACCAAAAAAGGAAGTTTACCTTTCAGCGTTGAGACTTGTTTTTTGTTTTTTTTTTTTTCTGAGTGGTATTTCAGATGACAGCTATTTCAAAGGAATGCAGACTCCTTGGGTTGTTAAAGTTGATGTGACTGACTTAGTAGAAGACAGTTATAGCCAGAGAGACATCATTTCTTAAGTATGTGAGTTCTGAAGAACCCATTTTTAAAAATAGTTTTGGAGTGTCTGTGGTATTTCAGACTTCCACCCTGACTGATTCCATTGTATCTCCAGCCTGTAGAACTGTACACATTTCAAAGAGAAGCTTGCTTTGAAGGGCATTAGAGCCTCTTGCCCTTTGTTGGCCTCGCAGCGCAGAGTGAGGCCGTCAGGGTCTGACTCCGGCGTCTGCGCACGGCGAGCCCTGAGGCCCTCCCAGCTCCAGCGTCTCTGCCCCGTGCACCTGACTGGGGAGCTGGCTGGGGAAGGGCTCCTTGGTGGCCAGCTGGACGCAGAGGGGTTGGGGAGACAGTTGCCTCTCTGCCACCCCTAGCCTCTTAAATGTCTAGACAAGAAGGGCCTTTTAAAAGGCCTGCAAATTTAGCAAGGACAGATTCATTGTTCCTAAGATTCATTGGGTTTGCCTAAAGCCAGATGGAATAAGAAATCGGGATTAAGAAGATGGGACCAGAAGCCTGAGGTCTGGGATCAAATCCTGGTCCTACCACTTGCTGGCAGTGTAGCTTGGGCCAGTCACTTAACCTCTCTCCGCCTCAGCTTCCTCCTCTGGGAACCGCGGACGCTAACAGTAACTCCCTGTAGGGCTGTTGGGAAGACGCGAGCAGGCTCGTGTGAAGTCCGCAGGGCGTGCCTGGCAGGTCCTGCGAGCTGGGTTAGTGCGGGCTGGCTGCTGGTCAGCGAGCCTCTCCCACTTCACATTACTCCTCTAAGTCTGTCCTTGCTACGGTTACCGGTATCAGAGAGTGAGTGTGTCTGAGAATCTTCTCGAAGATGCCCGCTGCGAGGGAGAAGAGCTGGTGCCAGAGCCTGTGTGTGTTTAGCAGCTTGTACGTGGGGCAGGAAAGAGGGGCCTGGACAGCACCCCTGCCAGACGGGGAGGGGGCTCCGCCCAGCGTGCCCTTCGGGGAGTGCTCCACTGGGCTGTCGTCTCCGGCCTCGGAGGTTCTCTCCGAGTTGTCCGAGGGACATGCGGAGAAACGTTCTTCCAGGCATACTCGCCTTGGGGGGCTGGGGAGAGGAAGCAGATATTTGGACACATTACTTGCTGGTCCTCTCCAGGCACCCCCTCACAGCAGCCTCCATTTGGCGGGTGTAGAAGTAGAGGCTCAGAAAAGCTTGTTGACTTGCCTCAGGTCAGCCCGCTGAAAGGCAGGGTGTAGACCTATGTGGCCAGAATAAGGAATGCCCACTGTGGCCCTCGCCTGCCGCCCACGGGTGGCTGGCTCTGTGCGTGAACCGCGGATGTCAGGGTGTCCGGTGGCCTCTGCGGCACGTGTGCTGCCCCGCGGGGCCCGGGCTCTGGCTCCTCTTCGCTCGCAGGGTGAGCGTTTACTGAAGCCCAGGCGCAGGGCACCCCTGTCAGGCAGCCAGCGGGGGGGTCCAGCAGCTGCTTTTAACTCGAGGGATGGAGACCAAAAGGGAGCCCGGAACTGGGAGAAGCACGCCTGGGGGTTCACGTGGGTGTCTCCAAATAGACAGGATCAAGGATAATTTTTTTTTAATTTTCTTTCTTTTTTCTTTTTCTTTTTTTGCCTCTGTGTTAATTCACTCAGCAAACGCTGACCAAGTGCCCGCCGTGCGCCAGCCTCTGCTCTGGGCACGGAGAGGGTAGCGGTGACGACCGGCGGGGCCCTGCTCTGAGAGGACGTGGGGGCACAGGAGACAGACAGACACGCAGGAGCACGAGCTAGAAAACATCCGCTGGAGAGAAGGGCTCTGCCGGAAAGTGAAACTGGTGATGCGGCAGAGTGACTGGTGGTTCCCAGCAGGCGACGTGTCCACTGAGATCTGAGCAACCAGAGCGAGCCAGTCCAGGACCGGCACAGGGAAGGGCGGCCGGTGGAGGAAGCAGGTGGGTGGGGCCTGAGGCAGGAGCCCATCTGGTGTGCGCATCCTCTGAAGTGACAGTGAGCGGTTGTTCTAGGAACAAGGGAAGTGACTGGACGTAAGAGCACAGTGCCGCGGTGACATGCACAGTTAGCCTGCAAGTCTTGTCCTTGCCCAGGGTGCCTGGTTATCCTTGGCCTTTTGCTAGGTGTGCCTGTCCTCTGGGCTCTGGGGCTCTGGCTCACCACCCTGTGAGGCTCAGTGTGTGGGTGGGGACCGCTGGACGTCAGTCACCACGGCGTGAAGTTCGTGGCGGTAACGCCCTCAGCTGCCCCTGGGAATCTGCCTGGGTCCTCCATAGCCGCCAGTGGGGGGCCCGCCGTGGCCTCCCAGGATGGCTGGTTTAGGGGCAGAGGTGAGCAAGGGGCTCATTTTTCTCGTGGCTTTGGTTTTCTGTTTGCGTAGTGTGGAAACACCTGTCCCTGCCTGCCGGGTGGCTTTCACTCAAGTGCCTTGAGCTCCTTTGGAGGGAAGTGTTAGGTCGCTGCTGTGGGACGCGCGGCTCCCCTGCCCTCACTTCTGGCCCCTCCCCGGCTCTGCAGGAGAGGGTGGCGGCGCCAGCCAGGTCTGAAGTAAACATGCGACGTGGGAATTCTGAACTTTCCCACGCAGCTCTGCATCTTTCCCAGTGTCTCGCGCTGGAAAATCGTAATCCCTGGCTGCGCCTGCCCCGTGGGGCAGGGTGGGCGGGCGAAGCCATGAAATGCCCTGTCCGGTGGCTCTCGGTCTCTAGGGGGCATTGCCATCTGCCGTTAGTGGGTATTTCTGGCAGCTGCGTCACAGCGTTAGAAATGGAGACTCTGTGGCCCAGGGTCACACACAAGCTGCCATTCCTGGAGGAGGAAGGGCTCTGAGGGCCGCTGCCTGTGCTCCTGGAAGCCCTGCCTTTCGGCTCGGCCACAGAGGAACAGTCCGTACGGGCTGGCGCTGGGGCGCGGCCCGTGGCAGGGGCTGCCGGAAGCGGGGGCTGCTGCGACACCATGGGATGGCAAGGAGTGAGCCCTCTGTCGGAAAGGGGTCTTGGGAGCTCAGGGTCTGTGCCGCAGAGCGGCCATGGTGCTGGACTTGGACCTTTGGTCTCTGTCCTAAATCTTCTGTGCTCTGTCACACCACACTTTGCTTTTTGGCCTGGTTTTTAAAGAACATTGTCTCTGAGTTGTTGTTTGCAAACTACACTGAGGAGTAGAACAGAGGTCGGGGGACATTAAAGAATTCTCTGTGCGTGAGTATGCACCCCCTCGGCCTCGTCGTCCGTGGGGCGGGGCAGGCGCGGCTCATCCCACTCGCCTTCCCTAGGCCGGGGCAGCGAGACTGAGGGACGGCAGTCAGTGGCCGGAGTGCGGCTGGAGTGGCCCGAGCCAGGCCTCCTGACAGCGGTGCTTGCTTCACGGCCTTTAAAAACGGCTGCACTTCCACACCTGTGTAGTCTGCAGCCACAGGCTGCTCTTTCCAGAAACTGAATGGTTAGAGCATGTTGGTGAAGAAAATTGAAATTCTTTACGTGTGCTTTCAGTAGCTGATTTCTGCTCTTAGAAAAATTAAGAAGAGGTGAAGTCATGGGAGGCTGTTTGGAAATCTGATTGGAGCTCTCCTGTGCGTGTTCTCATGAGTGTCGGGCCCTTTGTTGGGAGGTGTCCTGCCTCGTGTGAAGGGTGGCGTTGCCCCACACAGGGCCAGGGCTCCCTGCCCGGCCGCCCGCTCGCCCCTCACAGCTCCGCCGGCCGTGGGTTCGTCGGAGCCCCTCAGGGCCCTCCTGCCCTGAGCAGGGAGTGGGCAGGCAGTCTACCTGCTTTCTTACCTACAAGTCAAGTCTAAAATGTTTGTTTTACCTCGAAATTCTTTAAACATGTGGGCAGTTTTTAAGCCCACAAGTTGGATAGTGATATAAAATTTGATTCTCTGCACAACAAGAAGTCATTGGAAATTAGATGCCCACAATCAGTTAGTAAAGAGGACTTCTTTTTCCTTTTTTTTTTTTTTTTGGCGGACTCTTACTGTTTTTCTGGAGTGTGTATGTAAAGGATTTTTTTCTTTCCTTTTCATTTCTCTCGCTTGCATGAATAGTAGCTATAAGCGCTAAGTTATTGCTAGTGTGGCTGATACAGAATCATAATAGTCCTTTCTCTTTAGGCTGAAATGATTACTGTGGGGGAAGAATGTGGCAACTGTCCACATTGTCCTGACTGGACCGCTGTCTTCTGGGGGCCAGCTCAGTTTGGTCACGTGAGCTGCGGCTCAGCCTCCTTGTAATGGTCTTGGCCCCTTTTTCCCAGTGGGAAGATGGAGGTGTTTCCTCGTTCGTGGGCTGCATGCACAGGAGGATTAAAGCCAGCCCATCAAGGCGTGCAAAGCATTGTACAAGCTTAATGTTGGTGCATGTCATACAGTGACACATGGCACTCGCCTCGGCAAACCTACCCACCACCCGGGGAGCTGGGTGAGAGCTCGCATCCACTAAGCATTATCCCAGGTCCTGTGTGTCTGGAGTTGTGCGTGGTGTCCCCAGGAGATTCTGGCACACACGGCCAGTGGGCCGCGGAGGCCATGCTGCGGGGCGGGCGGCTGCGCCCTCCTCCCTCAGCCGTCCTGGCATCTGCTGTGGGAAAAATGAAGCGTGCGTGACCCATAGGAGGCTGCCACGCATCGGTAGTTTGAACTGCCACCTGGGCTGATGAGCTTGCGTTCAGCTCACTCAGTAATGCTTACCGATAACGGCTGGATTGGTGCGGTCACTATTGAGTGACCTGTGACTGTTAGGTTTTCGGGGGGAGGGAGAGATGCTTATTGCTATTACTTCATCGCTGGTCTTGACCGCAGGTCCCTGGAAAGCCACTGTCAGAATCTCCCATCGGATGGGGTGGACATCTCCGCCGCACACGACCGGTGATGTGCCTCGGTGTGACAGGGGCACAGGGGCAGAGAGGCCCGTGGGCTTTGGCCAGGGACCCACCTGTGCTGCTCCAAACCATGAAAGCCTTCTCTTTCCCCCGTCATGGGGACTCCAGCTTTGGAAGGAATTTCCCCACCCAGCCCTGCAAGTCCTCGGAGCACATTTTTTTCTGGAATTCTTCTTATCTCCAGGGGCCTCGCTCCAGCCTTGGAATTTTTTTGTCTGTTTGTTTAGTTTTCCTCTGTTTGCTATTTCTTTAGTCTATTTTCAGGCTCCACTGTCTTTGGCGTTCTCATGTTTTCAAATACGCCAGAATTTTTCTTCCCCGGCTTGGCCCTGCAGATGCGGTTATCCAGCTGTCACTTGGTGGTCCACCATCACAAGCCACTTCCAGAAAGTGCGACAGTCCCAGGCTTTGGCCAGGATGCCTGCACTTTGAGAAGTGGCTGGCCTCCCGGGGGGACCCAGCTCCTGCTTCAGGGTGGGGCCAGGGTCCGGTGTCAGAGGAGGGCTGGCCATTGTCCCTGCACTTCTGCTGGCGGCCTGGCCCTTGGAGGCTCCGGGGTGGCCAGCCCGTGCTCCACGTGGCCTGCGGCCTGCGTTTGGGTGTGGCGGCTTCCCTCCTCTCAGGTGCTCGGTGCACAGAGCTCATGGTGACAGATGGCACAGGCGCATGCTGCTGTTGGTCACAGTGACTTTGCTGGCTCATGCCGCCGCAGAAGTCCATGGGGTTGATGGCTGCAGGCACAGATGGACCCAGAGGCTCAAAGGATGGCCTTTCTTGCTCCTTTTCCTTCTCTTGGCTCCTTGATTGCTTCTGCGTCAGCTTCAGACCCAGGCGGGCCCGGGCTCTGTGGTGGCTTCCGGCAGCTCAGCCACCCTGCTGCTTCCCCAGGCGGCCGGGGCCTGTCCCGAGAAGGCTCCCGGTGGGCCCCTCTGGCTGGGCCGTGGCGCTCTGGCGGACTGGGCCTGGCCAGACCTGCTCCTGGCCTCTCTCCCTAGAAGACCAAGGTTCTTTCCAAGACAAGGGGATATGGATGGTGCCCAGGCAGAAACAACAGGTTCCATTTCCAGGAAGTGTTGTTTGGCTTAAAGAACCTTCGCTAGCACTGGGGATGGACTGTAGAAAGTGACGTCCCCTCCTTCACTGACCAGCCTGCGGCTGTCAAGGCGGAGGCGCAGGAGGTCGCAGGCGCTGGAAGGCCCGAGGGGCTGCGCGTTGCCCGCAGCGAGACTTCCCCAGACCTGCCCGTGCATCTGTGTCTGTGCTGTTGGTTGGATTTTGTCAGCTCCTTGTGGTTACCAGTGGTTACCTCATGTGCTTCAGAAACCTGGATTCTTAGTAAATGAATTATTAATTAGTACGGTTTCAGAACAGGCTTTTCAGGGCTGGGGCTGTGGGGCTGTGGTGGTTGGAGCCCCTCGTCGTCTCCTCCGGGGAGGCGAGTGGACGTCTTCTGGCACCTGTTGCCGCTCTCTTGGAAGGTGCAGAAAGAGTCATTTGCCTTGACTAGGAAATCCTAACTTGAAGTCACTTTGCCGTCTCTATTCAAACATATTTAAAGCTGGAACAGAATTACATAAACATACTTGTTTCATTCACCACTTACTGTAACATAGTTCTAAGTAATACCTGATGATAGAAATACATTTCTAGCCCTGGCTGGTGTGGCTCAGTGTGTTGGAGCAGCATCCTGTACATTGGAAGGTTGCGGGTTCCATTCCCGGTGAGGGCAGATGTCTGGGTTGTGGGTTCAGTCCTCAGCCAGGCCCCATATGGGAGGCAACCGATGGGGGTTTTCCTCTCTCTCCGTGCCCCCTCCACCCACCCTTAAAATCATTAACATATTTTTAAAAATTAAAAAAAAAGGCATTTCTAGTTAACTGCTGTTTTAATGCTATTTGTTCCTTCAGTTGTCAGTAAAATTTATGAAAATGAATCCTTCCACTTTTTTTCTCTTTTGGCCTATACTTTAAGAAAGTTTATTTTTCCTCCTTGTTTTGACCGTATCCCCCTCCCCTCACCCTCCCCACATCTGCCCTGGAGGTCCTCAGGAAGCGATTGGATGTTTCTGAACTGACTGTATTTGCCCAGGCTTGAGTGACGAGCCCAGAAGGCAGTGAACTGTCCTGTTTTAGTTGCTTTTTCATGTACATTAGTTCAGGCCCAGCAAGCTGGAGAAAAGAAAACTGGCAAACTGAGAAGGAAAGTTCGGAAAGTGGAGCAGCTGACCGTTCAGGAGGATGAAAGCAGAACAAAACTCGGACTCTGGAAATAACACAGGATGTGTGTTGGGGATGTTGCGCGTTCAGGGATGGCTGTGGGAGGGTATCCCTGGCAGGTGGTTTTGGGGAGTGTTTATCCCAGCCCAACCCGAGGCTGAGGGGGAGATGTTTCAAAGCGGGAAGGCCGAGCTCTGCGGTGGGCACGGACAAGCGTGACAGCCACCGAGGCGCGCACCTCCCGCTGGAGGAGCCGGGGAGCGCGGGGCGCAGGCTGGCTGCTGGGGCCCGCAGCCCGCGCGTGTGCCACCAGGCCTCTCACGTGGGGCTTGGGGGTTCGGGTGGCAAGCTCTCGGCTGAGGCCTGCAGCCCGTTTGGCCATGACAGGAGTTTCCCAAGGTGCGCTTTCTCCGATCGTGGGCTCGTCTGCAGACCTCAGCCTTCCCGCCCGTCGTTGGTCCTGACAGTGGCTCTCGTCTGTGGCGTTAAGAAGATGGCCGGCAGCCGTTCATCTTGTGCAGGCTTCACGTTTCGTTCTGGGCGTAACAAATATTCTGTTAGCGTCTTCCTTCTTCTTGAAGCCTGACTGTTCCCAGGAGATGCCAGCAGATGTCTGCGAGGCGCGCCTGCCGGGGAAGCCCCTGCCGTGGGCGCAGCCGTCTCAGGGCGTGGCGTCCTCTCCGGCCTGCGCAGCGCCAGCAATGGCGCCCTGGCCCTGCTCCCAGGGCTGCTGCGTCGCCCGTGCCCCCTCAGGCCTGGGGGGCCCCGTGGGTGCCCTGGTTGGGCCCCAGGGCCTCTCCCTCGTCCCCCTGGGGGACAGCAGGTCCAGCTGACCAGTCCGCCCCACGCGGCGGCGGGACGAGGGACAGGCGCAGAGTCCAGCACGTCACTGCTCCCTCAGGAAATTGCCTTTTCAAATTATATTTTCAACCATTTGGGGCCTTTTCCCCAGGACTGTTTGCTCTCATGCTTAGTTGAAGCTGCTTTTTTGTGCCGGGAGGAAGGTGGCTCAGGGGCCTCCTCAGGGGGACCCCAGCTCTGCCTGCTTCCCCTCAAGAAATGGGACGGCCTTGCCTGCAGTGCCCCAGGTGGGACAACAAGTGGAAGTGCCCAGAGGCCCTGGGCACTGAGTGCATCCAAATGCTGCTGCTGATTTTGACAGGCATTTGCGCTTTAATCTGGGAGGTGCTTATTAAAAATCAAAGTGTTCTTTGTTTTTCCTTTTCGAGGCCCATTCCACCTACGCCAGCAGGGAATGATACTGTGAATGAAAAACCTAATTAAAATCAAGTGTACAGGTTGCTGTGAGAGTTTCCTTTCCTGGCCCTTTGAGAAGCCTTGGAAGACTCATGAGACCTCACCAGGTGACGGAGAGGCTTTGCACGCCTGCCCTCCGGGGAACGGAGGCAGAATTCTGCCTCCGTGGCCAGAGCAGATGGATTGATTGTCACCAGGCGAGACATTCCGAGCTGCCTTTCCTGTTTGTGTGGCTGCGTGTGAGGAGTGACCACTGATGGCATTTCCTGTGGCTTCCCTGCTCCTGACACCTTTCGCTGAGTGTGCCCGTTGCCTTTCTGAGGTTTTTGAGAAAGGTGGGAGCCATTCATTGTTTCTCTGGCAGAAGCAGCACCGCAGCTTGGCAGAGAGAAGGGCCACTGCAGGAGGAGGAGGAGGGTCCTAGCCCGGTGGCCTTAGTCCGCTCCAGGCCTCGGGTTCCCTGTCCAAGAAGAACCTTTATGCGGAAGGTCTCATGAGCGTTAAGTGAGGCAGCCTAACCCGGGGAGCGCAGGTAGCTGGGGATGGGGCGGGGAGTGGTGGGGGAGCTTCATGTCCGGACCTGGCTGTATGCTCTGTCTTTGGAAGTCCCTAGAGTCTTCTGGACTTTCCCTCATTTTATGAATGAGGCGCAACCCACATCTCTACTTCCCTTGCGTCCCCTCAACTCTCCTCAGCTTTGAAGACCATGCCGAGGATTATTTCCCGCGAAAGCCCTTCCGTTGTCTGCCCATGCGGGCCCCAGCACCCCGCTGAGCCGGCTGTTCTGGTTTTGCATCTCCAGATCCCCTGTGCTCCACCCCTTGCCAGGCTGTGGCCTTCCTGAGGAAAGAGACCTTGTTTTCAGTCCATACATTCATACATTTATTCAACAGGGTTTATGTCACGTCAGGCACAGCCCTAGGTACTGGGTGCTCAGTGGTGAGCAAGACCGATGGGGGCTCTGACCGGTGTGGCTCAGTGGCTCGGGCGTCATCCTGCGGACTGAGAGGTCGCCCGTTCGATGCCCAGGCTGGGCACATGCCTGGGTGGCAGGCCAGTCCCCGGGTAGGAGTGTGTGAGAGGCAACTGACTGATGCTTCTCTGGCACATTGATGTTTCTCTCCCTCTTTCCCTCCTTTCCCCTCTCTCTAAAAATAAATAAAATGTGTTTTTTTTTAATTAAAAAAAAAAAGACTAATGTGGGTGGCCAAACTCGTGGACCAGTCCCACTGTTGGAGACGTGGGTCTCACTCCAGCTCTGTGAATGCTTCTTTCCTGGAGAGGGTAGAGCTGTGTTTGTGGCCTTCGGCTGGGTGAACCAGCTAACGCATAATTCAGAGCCTCAGTTTTCTTGTCTGGGAATGAAGGGATTGGGCTAGAACCAGATTATTTCCAAGGTGTGTCGCACAGCTCAGGCCAGATGCTGGTGCCTGCCGAGAGCCCCATGGAAGGCCTCAGCTGGGCTCCAGACGAGCTTGGGAACCTTCATACACAGACAGGAGGAAAGTGCAGCTTGCGGAGAAGCCCCTGGCAGCTGTGCACGTGGTGGGCAAGAGGCAGATGGATGGCAGGCAGAGGCGAGGTGTAGGTAGGCACGCTGGGGTCACGGGACACCCGCGATGAGGGGCTCCCTCATCCCCAAAGGTAATGTAAGCTCTACCGGGCCCAGCCTCCCCCGCCGTTGGCTTGTCTGTGGCTGGCCTTTGCTGTGCAGTGGAAATGGAACCCATGGAAGAGCTGTTTTCAATGGAAGCATTTTGAAAACAGAACAAAAATAGAAAATTGTCATAATGTTTACTCCTTTTCTCCCAAAGACTTAAACTTAAGTTTAAATTTTGTCCAGTCTTAACCTGTAATATTGATCTTATCTTAATTTTGAAAGGAGAATAGGATCTCTTTCATCCTAGGAAGGCGGGAGGGGAGTCAGCCAGCGTGGCCCCCATCGCCCAGGGCCGGCTGCTCATAGCAACGGCCCCGAGGGCTCATGGCCCAGTGAGTGTTTCTCTCTCTCTTTCTAGGTCATGGCCTCCAGTTCCTCGGACCTGAGTCTCCAGCGGAGGAAATGACTGTCAGGGGTCTTGCTCCAGATCTGTCACGGAGACTGAACCTTTGCAGGGTGCAAACTTGCCCAGGACAGGAAAGTTTCTCTCTTTGAAGGGCTTCACGTGTATAACAAAGAAAAGAAAGATGACGACTTCGTCTATCAGACGGCAGATGAAAAACATTGTGAACAATTACTCAGAAGCCGAAATAAAAGTACGGGAAGCCACCTCCAATGACCCCTGGGGCCCGTCCAGCTCTCTGATGACCGAGATTGCGGACCTGACCTACAATGTGGTGGCCTTCTCGGAGATCATGAGCATGGTGTGGAAGCGGCTCAACGACCACGGCAAGAACTGGCGGCACGTGTACAAGGCTCTGGCGCTCCTGGACTACCTCATCAAGACGGGCTCCGAGCGGGTGGCCCAGCAGTGCCGAGAGAACATCTTTGCTATCCAGACCCTGAAGGACTTCCAGTACATTGACCGAGACGGCAAGGACCAGGGCATCAACGTGCGGGAGAAGTCTAAGCAGCTGGTGGCCCTCCTCAAGGACGAGGAGAGGCTGAAGGCTGAGAGGGTCCAGGCCCTCAAAACCAAAGAGCGCATGGCCCAGGTTGCCACCGGCATGGGCAGCAACCAGATCACCTTTGGTCGCGGCTCCAGCCAGCCCAACCTCTCCACCACCTACTCGGAGCAGGAGTATGGCAAGGCCGGGGGTTCGCCGGCCTCCTATCATGGCTGTGAGTAGGGGACGCACCCCCCTCCCCCCACCAGTGCGCACTGGCAGGCACAGCAGCGCTGGGCGACAGGCCGGTGGGTGGCTTTGGGCGGAGTGAGATGGTGCATCTGTCCTTTATCTCAGTTCCTGGGAGCCAGATGACAGTGCCCTTGAGCTGTCACAAAGGGACTGTCAGTCCCTTTTTTGGCCGCTTTGGCTCGAGTATCTCAAGACCCTCTGCTGCTTTACAGTCTGACTGTCCATCTAGGCAGGCTGGGCCTGCGGGGGGTGGGGTGGAGAAGGCGGGGCGGGGAGGCTGGTCTCTCCTGCCTCCTCCTCAGGGAGGGGCCGGAGGGAAGGGACTGACCTGCTGCACTCACAGTGGGGAGCTGCCTGTATCTGGTAGCTAGAAGGAGACAGAGAACTTTTTCTGGATAATCTTGTTTCTTTAATCTCCGATCAGTGTTTTTCTAGACAGTGGGCTCCGGGCCTCCTGACTGGCTCGGTGTATTGTCTAAGCATTGCTGGGCAGGAGACGGCCTGTCTCTGGCTCACCTGAAGCGGGAGAGAGCAGCGCCCCTGCAGCGGTCATGCGGGCAAGGCCTCCTTTGCCCGCACCGGGCGGGTTTTGGGTGGTCTGTTTGCATGGCTGGGTCTGCGCTGGGTGGAGCTGCTCCGGTTCCTCATTTTGCCCGTTGGATTACTCGAGGCCCCTCATTCAGAGAAGGTTTCGGGGAGAAGTGGGGGTCAGGGGCTGATGGAAGCTGACCGCAGGGCCAAGCTCGCGGGGCCAAGCTCACGTCCTCTCACTCCCGGCGAGGGCGCCGAGGCGTGTGCTCTGCGGCCTTCACAGTGCGGGGCTGAGGCAGGCCTGGAGGCCTGCGGTGCGGGAGGTAGTGGTGGGCGTGAAAAGGTATCTTCTGCCTGTAAAAGTAGAAGGGTAGGTCCCCATACCCTTTCTTTTTGGAATCACTAACACTATGTCAGCAAAACGGGAAACTTTTTTTAAAGGAAGTTGTAGTTTGACACTGACATATCCCTCTCAACCCTTGCTTAGTCAGTGGCTCTGTGACCAGAACACTTAGTAGCATATCCTGCTTCTGCAGGTTTCGGTCTGACATTGTGCAGCCACCGGCAGCATTTTGAGGAACGTGCCAACTAGGAGATTGGCATAGTGAAGTCACACTTTGTGCCTCTAGGAACTGTAAATTATTATCAGGCTTGGGGAGGTTAGCATTCTTTTGTCCCATCGTTTTCTGACGTAGTTTGAACTCTGCGTAAGCAGGAGTTGTGACCTTCACGAAAGCACTTAAAGAAAAATACCCTGCTTCTCCAGAGGTCGTCTTCGGGGCCAGGGCGCACGAGAAAGAAAGAAATAAGGAAATAAAGATTGCCCTTTAGGAAGCGAAGTTATTTGTTTCTCTCGAGGAGCCTCCTGCCGCCCTCAGAAAGGCCCCCGTGGGTTGAGTCCGTCTCCAGGCTCCCCGCCGTCCTCTTTGAGAAGTGGCAGGCAGTGCACTCTGTGGCCACCCAGCGCTCCTCCCCTCTCTCCCTGCCTTCTGTGGTCACTGTCCTCCAGAAGCCAGAGGGTACAAAGCGAGGAGCTGAAAGTGCTCTCTCCCTCATCAGTAGTTCGCAGGATGTTCCGGGTGCGGGGGCAGGTGGTGGGGCGCAGGGGCCCGGGCAGCTGGGTGGGGCCCTGCGCAGGTGCTGCCCGGCCTTGCGCCAGGCTGGCGGCCGCCGCCCCAGGCCCGGCTCCGATGGGTGCTGGATCCCTCAGACCTTGAGCTTGAGCTGCATGTTCAGGGTCAGGATGTGGTGGGTCAGCAGGCTGCTCACTGCCTCTCAAACGTCGGTCGGGCGCTGGCCTCGGCACAAACCCCTGCCGCTCCCTCTCCCTCTAATGGCCTGTCTTTCTCTGTGTGTGTGTGTGTGTCCCTGCCCAACAGCGCCCGAGGCCTCGCTGTGCCCGCAGCACCGCACAGGGGCCCCGCTGGGTCAGAGCGAGGAGCTGCAGCCGCTGAGCCAGCGTCACCCCTTCCTGTCGCACCTGGGGCTGACCTCCCACCCAAATGGTGACTGGTCCCAGCCCTGCCTCACTTGTGACCGTGCAGCCCGAGGTGGGACGGCGGTTTGCTTTTCTCCTTCCTAGAAATGCTGGGCAGCTTGCTGGGGGTGTGCTTGTCATGTCAGTACAGCCAACTCTCTCCCTCCCTCCTCCGGACCCCGTGGTCCAGCCGCCAGTGGACCCGGGGCCCTCCCTGCCTAGGCTGGGAGCTCAGGCCCTGCCCGCGCGCCCCGCGCGCCCTCCCGCGTTGCTCGTCAGAGGTTCTGCCTGAGGCTGCAGGGGGGCTGCTGCTCGGTCGAGTGGGGGCACTGTCACTCTCTCCTGCTGTCCCCGTGCCCTGCAAAAGGTAGAGGGGCCCTGCTGTCTGCCAGACTTGGGGCCGCAGAGGGCAGACCCCTTGGCTCCCTGAGCCAGAAAGGTGCGGTTCAGGCCTCACGGCGCTGGACGAACCCAAAGGCCTCGGGTGGTCCCTGGAAGCCGCCGTCATCGATGCAGTGATAGTGCCTCTCTGAGGACAGAATGGGGTTGTTTTTGCTTCTCAACTGCCGTTCTTCCTGAATTCCCCATTTCCATGGTGAACAGAGAGTTAGCTGTACTGTCAATTCTGGGTCACAGTGTTTGAAGATACCTAATTCAATGGGTAATTAAAAGTGGGGCTTCTCTTTTGACTAATTAATAATGTATCCTGGTCAGAGCCGACAACTGTTGCAGGTTAAACTGAAAACAGATTTCACTGTTGCCTACAAGAAAGAGCTCTCGATCTAACCTGCCTTTGGTCCCCGTGGGGCCCTGCTGCAGAGGAGGGAGCTGTCACTGGAAGGGCACCGACAGAGGGCCTTTGTGGCTCCCCAGGAAGGCGTGGCCGGCCTTTATTCAGCCCTGGAGACAGTTGCTGTTTATTCATGCCTCGTTAATATTACAGCTTGTTTGACTTGGGCATTTGTATGACCACTTTATTTCACTCTGGGATATTTCCTTTGCGCCCCATCTTCCCCTAGCAGTTTGAACAGGGTGTTGTAAGGAGGGACAGCCAGCTTTGCACTGTAGAGAACGTAAAGGGTCAAAACAAAGTGTGTTCTCAAGGAGCTTCCAAGTGTGCCGAGTTCCAGGTCTGTTTCTCTCACCAGAGCTTTGGGGCCGTTCCCAGCAGTTCCCAGTGTTCCCCAGAACTCTAGGAGCCCCCGCTTTGCTTTTCCCCAGGCCCCACCCGTTCTGTAACTGCCGAGGTCTGTGTGAGTCTCAGTGGCCGACTCTGCGAGCACCTGGCTGTCTTGCTCTGCTGCTGGCAGCCTGGCTCTCCTGGGGCATCTGCGCACTGAAATCAGGCTGGCACGCCTCCTGCGGCCAGGAGCAGGCGCCCTGCTCCACCAGGCCCGCCTCCCGCCTCTGAGCCTGTGCCCTGCGTCCCTCCCACCGGGGCCCCCGCACAGCTGTGTACAGCGCTGTGGCTTCCCTCTTCCCCTTCAGCTCTGGTAGAAGTTAAGGCTAAAAATGGGTTTTGTTTGTTTGCTTGTTTTTTGACAATTTCTCGCGCCCCAGGTGAGTGCTGGGCAGACAAGGGCTACGTGGTGTCGTGTTTCGTCCCTCAGCTGTGCAGTGTGTGCACCCGCTACACGTTTCCCACGCCCTCCTCGGTGGGGTTGTCCAGAGCAGGCCCCTGTCCTGTGGCTCCTTTCCGTTCTTTCTTGGCACCTAACAAAGTGTTGAGCGTAAGGTCAGTTCTTAGTACATGCACATCGGCGGGTCTGCTTTGCACGCACTGGCCTGGCTTCCCGCAGGGGAGAAGCCCGAGGGACACCAGCCGTCCGAAATGGTCTTGTGAAGTGCAGGCTGTGGTTCAGGGGAGGCATTTGTGAGAGGCACTCTGAGGACCCAGACCCTGCATGGAGGCCTGGTGGGCACAGGCGCAGACTCCAGGCGCGGATGGGGTGGCCGGTGGCCCAGAAGAGCCCTTCGTGGGAGAGTGGGGCCCCGCGGAGGCCCTGGCGCTCCGGCCACTGGCCTTACCCACAGAGCCCGTGGTGTAGCTGGAGCGCGTCCCCCCGACCCCGCCCGCATCCATGAGCCCACTCTGTGCCCCTCCCCGCCTCCTACCACACGGATCTGTAGGCCTGGCCTGGGAGCCCCTCAGGTGCTCCTTCGTCTCTGGTTCCGTGGCCTCGATTCATGGCCAGCTTTCTGGTTGGTCTCCGTGCTGTTACCCTCCCCGTTCTTATCCACCCTTCAGGTTTATAAATGGCGATTGGGCCTCAGGTCTCAGAAAACTCCTCTGGATCCCAGGGGTCCCCCGAGGGTCCAGCCCAGGGCCTTCACATGGCAGACAACTCCCTTCCCTGGAGACCTCGGCCTCGCCGCACTCTGGCTCCCACGGTCCCTCGATCATTCAACGGGGATGCATTCAGTTCCCGCTCTGCGCTGGGCACTGGGCTAAGCACAAAGCAGAGCCCCCTGCCGCTACTACTGGGGAGAGAGACAGCAGACGTAAGACATCATACAGCATGTTGCGTGATGAGCACTTTGTGAAACAGCAAACAAAACCCAAAACAACCCATCCAAGTGTGAGGAGCAGTGAAGGGGGTCTGCAGTGTTACAGAGGGTGTCAGAACGAACCTCCTTGAGAGAGTGATGTTGGAGCAAGGACTGAGCAGGGAGGAGGAGGCGGAGGAGGAGGAGTGAGCTGTCGAAGTTCACTCTGGATGGGCGTCCAGGCAGAGGGCTGCGGCAGCCGTTGCAAAGGTCCTGAGGCAGGGGCTGCTCCAGGTGTCTGCGGGGCTGGAAGGGAGTGGAGTGGCTGAGGTCAGGGTGGGTGAAGTGTAGGTCTGCTCCCCAAACCGACTGGGGCAGGGAGCTGTTCTTCCCATTCCTAATCCATTTCAGACAGATACCTTTGTATCAGGGTTTAGATTTTGTAGTGATGTCATGCTCGAAAAGTTTGTAAATACTTTCTCTGCTGT